AGATGCTGGATGATCTTGGGGACAGAAGAGGATATTTTTATTTGAAGGAGAAAGCTCTAGATCACATTAAATGGAGGAACTGTTTCGGAAGAGACTGTGGACCTGTCATCTGAAAGATTACTGATGAATGAATGAATCTATTATTTAGTATATGGGTTGTATATAGAAAATCCTATTATTTTTAAACACTGTGTATACACTCTTCACACTTAATATGACTGATCTCTCTGTTAGACATCTACATGAATTACAGAAATCTAAACATGCAGGTCTGCATATTCCAGTGTCTTAAACCCCTTAGAGGAAGGTACTGAAGAAAGAAAATTTCTAATTTTAAATTAATATTGTTTCTGAATGCTATTTTAATTCTGTATTCTTCAACAGCTTTTTAGCAGGTCTTGATGTAATTACCCAAGAGGGCAAGAGTAACTGATCTTTCCTTCCGAATTGGCAGTCACTGATTGTCTGGTTTTCATTTACCACACAAACCTGAATATAAGTTCTGAGGGTTATTCCTCATAATCACCTTCTTCACATTTATTCTTAATAACCTAAAAATAAGGTGAGCTCTCTTTCCCAAGAAGCAGTATCAGGATGTTGAAGGGAACTACTTGGACTATTTTGGTATTATGTTTTACAACCTCACCACTGTGAACAGCCAATCCCAGTTAAATTCCTCCATTTGCCTTTCTGAGGTGGTAGAAATCTGGATTCTGTTTCCAATTCAATCCAGATTTGAAAAGGAAACAGGCATTTAGGTAATGAACACTTTGAAGACTGTCATATGTATGTAGTTCATTTGTACTCACTGTGACACTTGCAGATTGAGGGAAAGGATAGTTTGTTTCCATCTTAAGCAAGCAATGGCAGAAAACTTACAACCAGCAGTCTTGAATTACAATGGATATAGATTATCCTGTTTCTGCTAAATCTCATGTAATGCATAGGACATATGTCTGAGGGAAGTTAGAGCCAATGTAGCACTAGGTGACTTCTCAGTTTCTTACAGCCAGTGGCACTTGTTTGTGTGTGTGCTTCCCCAATATATTATGTCACACACATTCACAAAGGCAGTGGGAAGTCACTAACCAGAGAGTATCATTTTAACTTTAATTTCAGCAAGTCACAACTGGAAGCAATAAATTATCTTGTAGCCCAATACAGCATCCTATTTGGATCATACAAGAGTGAAGTAAACACCACATTTCACATCTTTTTGGTTGGACTATGTCTGCTACATGCTGAACCCAGTGGCTGTGCAGACAAAGGCATGAACTGTCTTCACACGTTCGAACACTGGAATTGTGGGTTTGAATCCCACTCGAGGCACTGACGTCTGTGTGCATTTATTGTCTGTGTGTTGTCATGTGTAGGTGGCGGCCTTGTGACAGACTGATCACCCGTCCAAGGAGTCCTACCAACTGTGTATAGCAGGGGTCTCCAAACTTTTCAAACCGCGGGCCACATTAGGTAATTCAGCACTTTCAATGGGCCAGATAAAATGAGAAATTAATAACTCTAGGTATATGAGTTTTTGGTTGGACTATGTTTGCTACGTGCTGAACCCAGTGGCTGTGCAGTCTAAGGCATGAACTGTCTTCACACGTTCGAACACTGGAATTGTGGGTTCGAATCCCACTCGAGGCACTGACGTCTGTGTGCATTTATTGTCTGTGTGTTGTCATGTGTAGGTGGCGGCCTTGTGACAGACTGATCACCCGTCCAAGGAGTCCTACCAACTGTGTATAGCAGGGGTCTCCAAACTTTTCAAACCGCGGGCCACATTAGGTAATTCAGCACTTTCAATGGGCCAGATAAAATGAGAAATTAATAACTCTAGGTATATGAGTTTTTGGTTGGACTATGTTTGCTACGTGCTGAACCCAGTGGCTGTGCAGTCTAAGGCATGAACTGTCTTCACACGTTCGAACACTGGAATTGTGGGTTCGAATCCCACTCGAGGCACTGACGTCTGTGTGCATTTATTGTCTGTGTGTTGTCATGTGTAGGTGGCGGCCTTGTGACAGACTGATCACCCGTCCAAGGAGTCCTACCAACTGTGTATAGCAGGGGTCTCCAAACTTTTCAAACCGCGGGCCACATTAGGTAATTCAGCACTTTCAATGGGCCAGATAAAATGAGAAATTAATAACTCTAGGTATATGAGTTTTTGGTTGGACTATGTTTGCTACGTGCTGAACCCAGTGGCTGTGCAGTCTAAGGCATGAACTGTCTTCACACGTTCGAACACTGGAATTGTGGGTTCGAATCCCACTCGAGGCACTGACGTCTGTGTGCATTTATTGTCTGTGTGTTGTCATGTGTAGGTGGTGGCCTTGTGACAGACTGATCACCCGTCCAAGGAGTCCTACCAACTGTGTATAGCAGGGGTCTCCAAACTTTTCAAACCGCGGGCCACATTAGGTAATTCAGCACTTTCAATGGGCCAGATAAAATGAGAAATTAATAACTCTAGGTATATGAGTTTTTGGTTGGACTATGTTTGCTACGTGCTGAACCCAGTGGCTGTGCAGTCTAAGGCATGAACTGTCTTCACACGTTCGAACACTGGAATTGTGGGTTCGAATCCCACTCGAGGCACTGACGTCTGTGTGCATTTATTGTCTGTGTGTTGTCATGTGTAGGTGGTGGCCTTGTGACAGACTGATCACCCGTCCAAGGAGTCCTACCAACTGTGTATAGNTAAGAAAGATGCTGTTCACTGAGCCTGAAATTGGAATTGGCGTAATAAACAGTTGGCAGACATAATCTGAATAAGTTCAAGATAACAGTTATGGTACTTTCTTTTGTGAGAAACACAAACATTACAATGGTGACTCCAACTTTATCCTGAAGTTAAAAATGATGCTCTGGAAGGAATGTTGTTAAGAAAATGTTTGTCTTATAAAGTAAGATTCAAGAATAATTTCATAATGCATACCAACAATAAGACAACAAGGCCAAGAGGTTTCTTAGGGGCCATCCAGGATGGTCAGGTAGTGGGCATGGATCAGCCACTCCCACATAAACACCCTCTGTCTTCTTAATATCTTCACCATCAGGAATAGCTACAGGCACCTTTTTTATATCACATAATGGAACAATATTAATAGAACTTGAATCACCATCACTACCAACTTTGACAAGAAAGTATCCTCGCTGTCTCCAGTCATCTACAGCCAGGTAAACTCTTGCAAGTTCTGTGACCTGAAAGAATATCAGAAACTAGATTTCTTGTAAATAACAAATAAATTACTGTTTCTCCAGCCCAGCATCTATATGAAGCCAGGGCTGGTTAGACTGGACATGCAAGAAAGTGAAAATGGGTTTGAGGTTTGTATACTGATATATCACAAAAAATATTATCAGATCAGTACCAAATGAAGGTAGTCTGGGGTCCTGGTACATATACCCTCAAAGGTCCTCTTTCAATTCCTACTGTGTGTACAGGCTCACTGGGTATATGGATGTGATATGAAAGAACTAGGGACATAAATAAGCAATACACTGTAATACACCCCCACACTGACGTCACAGACACAGGATACATAAACCACACGACACAGCACTCCTTAAGCACACAAGCATCACAACACACAGACAAGCAACATCAACTACCGACAGGTAAGGTTATTGAACCTTAAAAGTATATACACATAAAAAACTTATATAATACAATCTAAATAAAACCANTAATAAAAAATGTATAACAATACATAAATAACAAACGACACATTTGACCAAGAAACAAATACAAGCTCATTTAGAACAAAACAATTTCCCGTCAGCACCACTTGTGTCGACACTAGAGATATCAGGACGTTAAGCACTCCGGCCATACAAACGCAAGTCTAAATTCTGNAATACATCCAGGTTAATCTGGACCTGCATCAGGTATAAAAACAGAGTTTGCTCTACTTTGCTATTCTGTTTAATTGCCTATCTAAAATGTCTGTAGATATATGGTTAGTCAGCCACCATTTCAACTAATGTAACAGTAATTTCATTCCATAACACCAAATATTACAACTACAAAATGTGTAATATTCAATTGTCTCAGGGGAAATCAACTGGACTGTAGAAGCACAGTCTTCTTCTTAGAAGACCAAGTATTGGAAGTTGCAATGTATCTATAGTTCTGGGTGGCATAGTTGCATGGGTTTCTATGCCAGTTTCACACTAAAACATTTGAATAAAAAATTGTTAAAAGAAGCACCTTTTTTCTGAAAACACGCACACTCATGCTTAGTTTTAGCTTAAGATCTCAACACACAATGCATCAACAAGAGTGCAATGGTTGTATTTTAACAAGCTTGCCAATATGGATCACTTGTTTGTGTACTGGCTGAAGGAAAGCATTAGGTAAAAGAATGTGGTCATTACATACATACATGCATGCAAGCAAACGCACACACATCAAAGCACACATACACACTATTAATATATCTAATTACTTATATACCTGCTTTTCTGAGAAAGTATCAACTAATCTTAGTGGCTGTTTTTTTAAAGTTATTATTGGAAAACTGGGTGCTGGAAATGCACTCCAATAGTAGAAATGATATTTCTTCAGATCCTGAAAATAAATAACAAAGATATATAACCATTAAAATAAGTATACGAGAAGTAACTAACAGAGATGGTCACATTTGGTATAAATATTAAATTTACCGCATATGTTAGTAGAAAAAATCGAGACAACAAGGCAGGGTTGTTCAATGCTTCTCCACTTGTAATACTATGCCACAGTTCTTGACCATGTTCTTCTAATAATGCAATTTTATTACAGTTCTTGAATGTTTCAAGTGTGTTTTTATTAAGTAATATGCCATATGCACCAAGCAGTGGTTTTTGTACTTCACATTCCCTGAAAATGGAAAATTTGAACATTAAAATCTGTCATGTCCTCACTATATAGAGTGAGTCTGAAGGCTAAAATTTTTAACTGGTAATTTTCACACATCATTGCCAATTTCATTAGATTCTGTACTTTCTTATATGTCACTGTTAGAATCATATTTCATATCTGAGGTTTTAACCTGTTATGACAAATACCTACTTTGCCTACTAGTGACTAGGAATCTTTCTCTTAACCCTCTGTCTTGCTACTTAATTGCACTGATTTCTGAAATTATCGGACCATGTTATTTAAGTGCTTTTCAAATTGTTTTATTGCAATGAGGCAGGGGACATTCATTTTTACTTCAATTTACTATATTAGATGTGACAAGGGATTAATTTTGCAATAATTCAATCATGTTCACTCTAGTCGTCAGACCTTTCATAAGATCAAATACCAGTTGCACATGAACATCTTTGATCATCTGTAATAACCAACTTCATTATGTGATCACTAGCAGTGCATTTAAGGCACAGTGTTTTCACAGAATGTTTTGTAATCGTAACATATAATGTAATATTATGAGACACAGTTATGATGGCAATTCTGTGAACACCATTACTAAATTTTATTTATCTAACCAAGTTGTGGCATTGCTCTAAGCACTACAACAATGAGGTAAATATAATTGCAAAAAAACACAGAAAGGGCAGCTGGAAGATAGAATGAGTTAGAATACAACAGGATATGAAAGGGTGATTGAACAAAAAAAACTCCGTGGTTTTAGTCCGCAAGTGAACTATACCGACCGAGTGACCGCCGTTTGTCAACGAAATTAGTGCCAACTTTAGCAGATAGAGGGTATTGCGTGGTCATCGCCCCGAGGCTGTTAATTTCGGTTTCTACACCGGAGCCGCTATTTCCTTGAAATAGCTCAATTATCATCACGAGGCTGAGTGGACCCCATTCCAGACCCACTACTTCTCAGAAATAATTTGGTAGCGCCGGGAATTGAACTCTGACCACTAGACCACAGAGGTGGTCATGAAAGGGTGACATGGCCAATCAAAACAAAGCCTATTTCTGTGTACATAAATTCTGAACTGAATAAAATTTACACTAGATTAACATTAATTTTTATTATATCACCAGAATTCCCGAACTTCTACCTTACAGCATCTAATTTTAATTCTCTTACTCGTTATATGCACTGCAGTCTACATGAAGATTAGATGTCAGCCCAGGAGGAACTGCATTTGAATAATATCCCCAGATTGGTCTGGCACTTTCTTCCAATCTGTCAATGTCCAGTTTCACATGCGATAATTGATGCCAAAAACTTGGATCCACTGACGAATTAAAAGGAGAATACTGCAAGATATTCGATCCTTCTGTCTGCAACATTGCGCTCATTTCTACATCCAACACATTGTTTAAATGACCATGTCACAGTTCACAAAGGACATTATAATCTTAATTATAATCTGTTACTTCTACCACAAAATAATCGCATATTAACACAATTCCTTCGATTCTTAAGCCTTTCCTTACGATCGCTTACGATACCCAGAAGCCCAGAATGGTCACAAAATACTTTGACGACTGTGACCACTGTCGACGCTGTCGACTACTGCCGTCTGCTATTATCGATAACTCTTCGATAATTCGAGGTCTCTAACGTCTCGAGCGGACTCGAGTGTGTGTTGCGATGGTAACGATAACGATTGTATAAACTATCAACTGAAACTTGTTTGCAATTGATTGAAGACATAAGACTTGTAGTTTCAAATATCCAAAGACGCTTCCAAGATGAAGATTGAAGAAGTGAAAAGTACAGCAAAAACTCAAAGGATATCAGCACATAGCCACATTAAAGGTTTAGGTCTGGATGATGGTGGGACAGCAATTCAAATGGCAGCGGGATTAGTTGGTCAAGAATCAGCACGTGAGGTTAGTGGGATTGTTTTTTATCAACATGCGACCTGATATATAACATAAGCAGCCCTCGAAATAGATACTTCACATTAATTCCACAAAGCAGGGTGTTGGACAATACAAGAAATTCAGGAAGTCAAAAGGTAAGGTAAAGGTGTGGATCTATACTTCCACTTCCCCGTTCCCCTTCATGGCGTAGTGCATAATTAGTTAAGCACTGGAATAACTTTACCTTTAAAGGCAAATCAATCCCTGTAACAGGTCGTGAAGGCCCATAGGGCTACGAGACTTCGAGGCTCCCATATTTTCTGTAGACAATAGGCTCACAGATGGCGGTAAGGTTGTCAGCCTTACGCCCCGGCCGCCCTTAACTCTCCCTTCCCCCCAGGAAGATTCCTAGTACTCATTTCTGTTAGAGGCTGAGTCAACCCCAGAGCCATAGTGCGCCTAGAAGGATTAGGTCAATTGAAAAGATCCACCTCTTCGGGAAAGTATCCAGCTTAACATACACTGTTCTAGCAGATATTAAGGGTTATTAATTAAATATCAGTGAATTTTGTTTATTCTTTCTTATATTTCATTTCATTTGATGCATTCATTTGTATGCCCCAGAATATCAGTTAACCTGTTGCAGGATCTCTCACAGTCATTGCATTACATCTGCCATACACCCTTGGTTTGATTCATTTTCAAGACTTTTGTTCTTTAGGAGAATCAAAAATATAAAGTTGCCGATATTCTGGCCTATTCACCATGTGTGGATATAGTGGTGAGACAATGTGGTGAATCTGGCCTTGTATGTGGAAACAGTATGGACCATTTCCAGGTGGTGATTTAATCTCCACACCCGTTGATACAGTTGCTGAGTTGTACTCTCATATACATTCTTTATAGGTGTTTTGCATGTATCCCTTATAGGCAACTCCCATAATAGAGCCGTGAACTGACGTCTCTATTGGCATACTCGTGAACTTGTTCCAACTGATAAAGAGTGAAAACATACATAAACATTTTACATAGGTAAGTCAAAAATTATCCGCACTCTCATTTTTCCAATCCATATATAGAAAAGTAGGGGTTGAACAAGTACTTCACTTTTCTACATAGTCTCCTCCCTTTTCGATGCACTTGTTCCAGCGGTCCAAAAGCTTGCGTATTCCCTCCACGAAGGTTTTCGATTGGTCGTGTAACCCCCACTTCTTTGTCCGTAGAAAATCAAAAACCTCGTAAAACATCTTTGAGCGGTCCAAAGAGATGATAGTCGGAAAGGACAAGATCTGGGCTGTAGGCAGGGTGTTCCAGCACCTCAAAACACAAATGGTTAATGGTTTCAACGGTCTGGCCGTCCTTGTGTGAGTGTTCATTGTCATGCATCAACAACACTTTCTTCGACAATAGGCCACGGCGTTTGGTGCGAATTGCTGGCTTTAGATTGTTGGCCAGCAAATCACTGTATCTTGCACTGTTGATTGTACACCATTTTTCCAGGTAGTCTTCCAGTATAGGCCATTTTGAGTCCCAAGAAACGGTTGGCACCACCTTTCCCACGAAAGATTGCATCTTTAATTTCATCTTCGTCTGCGATCCTGGGTGTTTCCACGCCATACTCTGGCTTTTGGATTCTGGCTCATAATGATGAAACCACATATGAATTTCAGCCCCCGACACACCTTCCAATCAGAGAAATCGGATCACTATTCTTTGTTAATCATTGGTGCACACTGCTAGCAGAGCGACCATGTTTACACTCTCACAGCATCAAGGAAAATGATGCGATCAAGGTAAAACTTTGATCATGTGACCACAGTAGTACCAACTCTAACAATGCATGCGTAGGAGGCAGTGTGACAAACCTAAAGATGTGTCATGGAGAAAGTGCAGATAATTTCTGACTTACCCTCGTATATATACATATACAGATTCAGGAAGCCAAAATCCACCAGTCTCAAAATGTTTCACTCTATATACATAATACCAAACAGGATGGTGTAGAGGTAGTATTCTAGACTTGTATTTGGGAGGTATTTGGTTTGAATTTTCAGTTTCAGAGTCAAAGCAACATGTTTTCACTTTAGTTCTATCAGCATTGGAGCATTGTTAAGTGATGTAAGGCATGAATTTTGTATGTACTGTAAAATGATCACAATTGAACTAGCTCGTACTGTAATTGTGGATCACTATGAATGTAGTGCATAAGTGAGAATGACAAGCACTGCAGCTAGTGCAGTGGCAGATAAACATATGAAAACTACAACTTTGTTTCTGAAGTAATTTTATAAAAATGGTAAATTTTCTTTGGTTGCGTAAGAATTCTTGATTCATGGATACCAGATAACTGGAACTTAATGTATATAACATACAAATGTCTTGAGTCTCCACTGTAGAGAGAGAGAGAGAGAGAGAGAGAACCCTAGGAAGACAGTTAATTTGCTGTAATATTCATGTGTCTATTTAAAGTCTGTTTCTTTCTCTGTAACTTCTTGACAAGCTGACAGTTGCACAGCTGCTCAAGAATTTACAAATATTTTCTTTCTCTTAAAGAAAAGCACTGGGACCATGATGACAGTGAGTTTATTTTCATAATAACCATGATAAAGAAATGTGTCTTGAAGATTACAGAAATGGCATGAATGTGATCCAACAACCTAGAGACATTAACCACCAGGAACAACGAAAATTGATCATCAAACTGCATTGCAGAGTCAAGCTAAATTGAAGTATCAATGTTATTATAAATAATAAATCTTCCCTTATAGGCCGCAGGAATTGTAGTTGACATGATTAAAAGTAAGAAAATGGCTGGCCGAGCATGTCTTTTAGCAGGACCACCAGGGACTGGAAAAACAGCCATAGCTCTTGCAATTGCTCAAGAACTTGGCAATAAGGTAAGTATCATGATATATACAGACAGATGCTACAAAAATATGAAAATACCTTCTCTCCATGCTGCATTCAACCCAACAACTGGTTATTAAACAGTGGAACAAATATCTTTCCAGCTGAGGAAAGCAAACCTTGTTGAGTATTATAAGCTGTTATCAACAACTAAGGGGGTCAAAAAGCTCTGCAGTTAATCCACAAAGCAGATAGTCCATGTTTGTATAATTAAGAATCTACTGTATTGTGATTTTAATAAGGAAAACAGCCATATCTCAGGTGAAGAATTGCTAGTTCTTCAAGATAGTCATGTTATCATTAGAAATTGTGCTATCATCTTCCATGACAAATTTTGAGTTATTGTACTTAAGACTGGGGTTGCTGGGGTGTCACTATATAGTAGTCTTGTAGGTGGTTACTAGTATTTCATAGGAACCTACTGCCTTCATCGTCAGGGGCATAATAATGTATTTAGATTATCCTATGTATTCCACTTATTTATGTTATTTTTAGTACTATAATCCTACCTATATCATAATCTTAATGTCTTTTATTAGGTAAACTGTTATTTTGATGGCTGTCTGTAAAGCAGTTATTATTTGTACTTGAAAACTTACCTTTGGATTATTAAGCATGCCTATTACAGTTTATGCAGTTATGTTTCGTGTATTAGTGGCTTACATGTGCAAGCTCTCAGTTTTGCTGTGTTGAAAATAAGACTGCATATTTGTGGCTAGGAGGATGCATTGGGCCAGATATCAGTTAGTCTGGTACTAGGATATTAACTAAGATACTGACCAGCAGAGGGCATCTACACCTTAACAAGAAATCCAGACACAGTGGTATGCATTAAAAGAGGAAGGAATGTTCAAAATTCTGTGTTGGATATGGCTGGTCTCCAACTTGAGACCATCTGCATAGAAGGCTAGTGCATTTTCCTAGACCACCCCACTTTATGCAAGTAATGTTTGGCTTGGTTTCCTTAGTTTCAGGAGTTTGGACATAGTGCAGCCATGTGACTACAGTGTTTCCCACAACAGCACCATGCTTTGGTTACCTTCCTATAGCACACAAAACTTGTTATGACATCCCAGGTTAATTTCCTTTTGAAGCTGTACTCATATGTATATAAATATATACAAGATTTTTGTTTTTTGTTTTTTTTTTGCTCTTATCTGTAATGTATGGGGAACAGTCTCTGTCATCACAATTTTTATATCCACACCAGCTCTGCAGTCTATCTGGCCTCCTACTCAGTGGGTAACAGGGCCTCTTTCTTTAGATACGAAGTGGCTGAGTTTTAAACTGACAGCCTACTCCCAAATTTAAGAATGAAGAGACCTTCACAGGATGGTGCTTTGGGCCCAGGGATCACTTACTCTTAAAAACTTTTTTTAAGAACTCTGATTGACAAAAACGAGCATAATGGTATCAGTTAAATGTCAGTGTGTGCATAAGTCTGTTGCTGCATTACGTTCAGTTTTCAGATTATGAATATTTCTCAAGGATCAATTTCAATTGCTGGCTTCATTGATAGGTTCCATTTTGTCCCATGGTTGGCTCTGAAGTTTACAGTTCTGAAATAAAGAAGACAGAAGTGTTAATGGAAAACTTCCGTCGTGCTATTGGGTTAAGGATCAAAGAAACAAAAGAGGTTTATGAAGGTGAGGTGACTGAGCTAACACCTGTAGAGACAGAAAATCCAATGGGAGGTAAGTTAAAGATTATACATTCCTCAGTTAAGTTATAGGAACATTTTGGTGTTCTACAGCACATTTGTAGTAAGCCCAATGTCATCCGAGGTTGCGCAGCCACTCAAGAATTCCCCAACATTTTATGGAACCCAAAGGCTCATTAGCATATTCACAAGAGCTCTCCATTGATTCCTTATCCTGAACCAGATCAATCCAGTCCATCCTGTCTCTCTAGGATCCATCTTAATATAATCCTCCCACCTACATCTAGATCTTCCTAGTGATTCCTTTCCTTCTGGCTTTCCTATCAAAACCTTGCAGGCATTCCTTTTCTTTCTATGCATGCTACACGCCCTGCCCAGTTCGTCATCATACTGGGCAAAGAGTAAAAGTTATGAAGCTCCTCATTATGTAGTTTTCTCCAGCCTCCTATCACTTCATCCCTGTTTGGTCCAAATATGCTCCCCAGCACCCATTTCTCAAACATTCTCAATATATGTTACTCCCTATATGTACGAAACCAAGTTTCACACCAATATAAAACAATGGATAAAATTATAGTGTACTTTTATGTATTCTAATATTTACTTTTCTAGACAGCAGACAAAAGGTTCTGGACTGAATGGTAGCAAGCATTACCCAAATTCAATCTCTTAATTTCCACCTGAAACAAATCTTGATTTGTTATTGCCATTCCCAAATACTTGAACTCTGCCACATTTTCAGAGGATCTGTTAACTATCTTTGTTATAATTTTCCCTACATTCTAGTAATGAGGCAGCAGCATATAACTAGTTTTCTCTGTTTACTTCTAGACCAGCCTCCTCACTAGCATCAGTTAGAGTTTCTATGTTTTTCTTTATGGTATCTATGTTATCTCCCAATAGATTTACATCATCAGCATAGACCAGTAGCTGATGTGTCCCATTTGATTTTTCCGGGCCTTCCTAATGGCATATTCTAAAGCAAACTTGAAAACAATGGCAGTGATGCATCTCCTTGTTTTAGACAATTTTAGATAGGAAATGTATCAGATGAATGTTTACCTATACAGACTTTACTATAGGTTTCATTTAAGCACATTTTCATTGGCCTGACTAGTCTCATGGGTACCAAAAACTCTAAGAATATTGTAAAATACTTCCTTCCTAACTGAATCATAGGCTTTCTTGAAGTCTGTGAATAGCTGAACCCACAGGGGATTCAAAGGCACGTCCATTTCAAAAATACTTAGAAGAGGATAAGTGAAGAAAAAGCCATGGAGGTGGGGAACACATGGAGTGAGGTTAAAAGAACTGCTGTTTAAAGGATCTGGTGGAAGCATTTCACAGATGCCCTATGCTCTGGAGGGAGTAACAGGGATTAACTAATGAACAGCTGACACACCATCTCTTTGCACTTCCATTTTTTAATGTCTAGCAAATCCAACAAAATCTGACAAGTAGATTTGTTAACCCACACTGATATCCTCAGTAATTTTGTCTGAAGCTGATGACAGATAATTACTACAGTCAGTTTTATTGGCCTTGTTGTAAACTAGTACAATAATGGACTCTATGGATCTCAGTCCATAATGTTTACTCTCCTGTCTGAATCAGTTATGCCAGATTTTTTCTCTACTTGGAAATTTATACTTCTTCAACTATGTAGTAGCAGTTTCAGCCTCAAGGAATAAGATCAGGTACTAATGGCTCAGCTATATGTTCTTCTATCTGCCTAACACCACTGACCCTATATACATTCAATAACTGAGAGAAGTAGTTCTTCCACCTATTCAAAACATGGGAATCTGCAAGAACATCACCCTGCTCATCCTTCATTAGGTTACTTCTAGGTTGGTAATTATTCTTAAATTCATTTATTCTTCTATACAGGTCTCAAATGATCTTAATCTTACTGTTCATGGCGAGCTCATTAATTCTTTCAGATTATCCCCCTTTTTAATCCTGAAATATATATATGTATATATGCTAATGATTGTTCTGTGCTCACAGGGTATGGCAAGACCGTAAGCCATGTCATAATTGGACTTAAGACTGCAAAAGGTACAAAACAGCTGAAGTTAGATCCATCAATATATGAATCCCTACAGAAGGAGAAGGTGGAGACAGGTGATGTAATTTATATTGAGGCGAACAGTGGTGCGGTTAAGAGACAAGGTCGAAGTGATACCTTTGCAACAGAATTTGATCTTGAAGTAAGTGTGACCATTGTTGTTGCATTTAATATGACTTCTGTTTTCAATTCCTATTAAATGTATTTCTTATGATACAGGAATTTTATATTTCATTTCTGAAACAAATGTGTTTGCTACTATTTTCATTCACCTTTAAATGTTCACAAATATGGAACACTGATTAAAGGGCCTTTGAACCTCTTGTATTCCATTATGAAGAATACGTCATGTAAATTAACCCACTGACTGCCAACCCCTGCCATAGAACGACTAGAAATGCCATGGCTACTTGAAAAACACACAACACTTTCCCCAGATGATCTTTAAATAACAGAAATATTCCTGTGAAAGTCTGTTCTTTCCTCTAAACATTGATATATGACATTGGTGCCATCTGGCAATTCTAATTCAAAGTACCCTAAGCTTATCTAGTTGGTATGTAATGTGCCAAGGATCAATATTGCATTTTATTATAATGGTACAGAGACTGTTCATCTTCACCCAAAATTATGTTGAACAGTGACCACAGAAATGCCCATCACTATTACAAGTTCCCCCATAACCACTGCCTCAACACAGGCCTGCCCTCAGAATGACTACCTTGCAACACTGATATGTTTCATTTATTCTTATGTAATCCTGTTGTTCCCTTAAATCACAAATCCAAATGCACAGATTTTGGAGAGTGCCAGAGATGTATGTTCTGCATTAGTGCCATATGCATCATTTGTAAATTCATGCAGTAAGAAGTGGGAGAGTGCACCATTATATCAATGGTTAGTAATTCACAATTACTTGTTACCAGTACCCAACCAGAACTGTGCCAGATATGGAAACAGATTAATTTTTCAGAAGTACAGGATCATACTAAAATATAAAGAACACTTCTTGTTCATATGACTCCACCCCCTTTCTTCCCTAAAACATATTTCTCAACCTATTCTAATATCTGTGCTGGAAACAAAATTTATTTTTATAATGCTCTGGGCTTTAGATGTTTATTATAAAAATTTGCCATGTTTTATTAGGCAGAGGAATATGTTCCACTTCCAAAAGGAGATGTCCATAAGAAGAAGGAGGTTATCCAGGATGTGACACTGCATGATTTGGATGTTGCTAATGCAAGGCCACAAGGAGGCCAGGATATCCTGTCCATGATGGGACAACTAATGAAACCAAAGAAAACTGAAATCACAGGTAGGAGAAGTATGAATTTCATTTTACAGTGGTCAGTCATTATAATTCAGTTTCCTACTATGGGAAGTATTTATGATTATTTTTCACATTACTGTAAATGTTCAGTTAAAAGACAGCCTGGGCAGAAGCCATATAACAGCAAAGAATTTGTAAGGGCAAGTGATCAAGAGTCCTAAACATTTGGCACATTCACAGCATTATAGGACTGAGGTAATGACACAGAAATGTGATTACTAACATTAAAAGTGGCAGTGCAAGAAAAGAATCATGCATATGAAAATTGTTAAGGCAGAAACAGTTTAGCAAACAAACAGCAAAAAAGGCCGATATGACAAAACAGGGCTGATACTATACTTTGTGAACTATTGTTAATTGTGCAGAAACACAAATGAACTGAAACTGCCACGGCACGTGCAAACCATTGGCTTGGGCTGCTGTTCAAATTTTTATGGTAGCACCACCCAATTCTGTTTTAGTCTTAGGATGCAGAGAGCTACATGTGTATGGCAGAGTGTGACTACCATACTAAGCTACCCCATGGTGTATGATCTATACAAGATATGTAATCATAATTCTTTAACAGACAAACTACGAAAGGAAATTAATAAAGTGGTCAACAAGTATATTGACCAGGGCATTGCTGAACTGGTTCCTGGAGTCTTATTCATTGATGAGGTTCACATGTTGGATATTGAAACCTTCACATACCTTCACCGTGCTCTGGAGAGTGCTATCGCTCCAATTGTCATTTTTGCAACTAATCGTGGCCGCTGTGTTATAAGGTAATACTCGTTTCTTCTTCAGTTTCCTAGGCATAAGTCAAAATGTTCTTGCTGTTGATCAGAACAGGATTATATATATATGAACTATAAAGATGAGATGCTAAACCATATGCTATGTAGCGTAGACTATCCACACAGTGAACATTCTGGACAAACAAAACTTCTTCCCCATTATGCTGAACCATATTACTTCAAATATAAGATGCATCCAATTTTTAAATATGGGTTTTAGGAAAAGATTAGAAGGGTGTATTTATTTCAATGAGTTTATTTAGAACACATCAATTGAAATAACAATAAATTTGAACGCATTTAAAGTGAACGGTGATGGAAAATATGCCAGAATGAAATGGAAATTTAAAATTGTCATTAGATGCTCATTCCTTTCTATTTTTTTTATTTAATCAGAAGGTTCATCCAATGATCATTCAGTTGCACTTTGTTCAGTGTTGTCCCAAAGGATTTTTTTTTAATTCACTTAGTGGGGGGTGGAATCCAGCTGGGTCCACTCAGCACGGAGGCCACTGATTGGCCTATTGTACCTGCCCCGGGTGATTATGATGATGGAGAATTTGGTGGAATGAAGATTGGCAGGGGAACCGAAGTACTCAGAGAAAACCCACCCCTGTGCCACTTTGTCTATCACGAATCCCACTTGACCAGACCCGGGATTGAACCCAGGCTGCTGCAGTGGGAAGCCAGCGACTCAACGCTTGAGCTGTTGCGCAGCCTAAGGATGTTATCTTGCTTTCCAGCTTCTGCATTAGACAAATAGCACTTTAAAACGATTTTGGGATTATATTGACTGGCACTTCTTTCCAAGTTTTGATATCCACTCCACTATCATTGACACACACTCTTTCTGTTTTGCTACTAGGTGTCAATATATGATTGTCTCTTTCAGCCAGGCATCATAGTGATTATAGACAAGATGGTTAAATGATTTGTTAATTGACACATCATGTGGTTGTAATTGACTTGTTATGCCACTAGGAATTATCACTAGATTGGTATTTTTGTTCCTTAAGCTATTTCTGATTCTATCGGAGAGATGACCACAAATTGCATCCATAGGAAGCATACTCCGTGGCTTTCATAATTCATCAGGCCAATGTTCCCATATACATGCAAACCAGTCTTCCAGTAACCCCCACATCATTCATGCATTTTTTTTGGTCCAGACTATTACATCTGTACAAAAAAAAATTCTTTTGGCATTGTCTGTTTAATATTACATATGGTGGTAATTTATTGACGTTTGCAGTTATACACAGCAGGATTTATAACATGCAACTTTTTGTAACCTGTGGGTTTCATGGCCACTTGTTTTCCCCCTTTGAAATATATGGTATAATAGTGAGTTGTGTCAAAAAAACTGCAGTTTTGTCTGCATTGCTGAGGTGACTTAAAGAATGCTTATTCATTGGGCATGGTCCAGTAACAAAATGCTGAAATTCAGTCAGTTTAGTTTCAAATTCATAAGGATGTTTTTGACTAATTTCCATCCTTCATCCTAATAATAAGCTCTCTCTCTTCATAAACTTTTCACACCATCTACAACTTGGCTTGAAAGGTATATTACTGTTTCTAGCATTCTTTTTCTTTTGACATTGAGGCTTCCATAGGTACAGGTAACCCTTTATTTAGTAAATCTTTGAAATACTCTAAAATAGAGGCATCAATCTCAGGACTTGGTCCAGAAAAATACTATTTGTCAAACATGAAAACAGTTTTGTTTTTATACTTCGCCAGTCACATACTGTAGTACACTTTCTACCAGCTGCATGATTATCTATTTTTTCAATGCACAGAATAACTTTTCTTTTGAATGAGGCATCATATGTAAACTGCTTTTTCCGTGGGTAAAAAGTGATAGAAAACTGAACACACATGAACAATAAGAATGACAGGCAATGACTGAACTGAAAGTTTGGGGTTGACTCACAGTTGGGGGGGGGGAGTGACATGGCTTGACGACTTACTCCAAATATGTTTACATTAGGTTCTTTCCAGGCTACTCTGTGAAAGTTTTGCAAACTGATGAATATTCCTTCAGTTTAAAATGTACCTCCATTTTTCAAAAGGAAAAAATGTGAAAAATGTGTCTTATATTCGAAGTAGTATGGTGCATATGTATATATGCTGCAGTGATTGATGTCGGCACCTTCCAGTGGACCTATTGCACTGGGTCCCTTACTTTTCCTGGAAACAGCAGTAGCAGTAACATCTGAAATGTTTTTTTAGCATAAAACCCACAAATGTTGGATTAACCCCCCCCCCACCCCCCATTCTCTGCCACTCTCCAAGCTGTATACGTGTAGATTAATGATGTCAAGGTCTATCCTTAGCAGCCATATGAGGTAAAGAGCTTGCGCCTACTTTTACCATTATATTCAAAAGTGGTTAAAACAATCCAGTTTTATTTGCATCATAATGTCATTGGCTTATACATTGTGAATGTAGGGTATACACCTGATTATCTTTACTAGTGAGGGGAAAAAACAGATAATCACAGATCGTGCAAGAGACTATGGTGATTGTTGAATATTGAAATTCATAAATGTACACAGTGTCTGATTTTTGTTTCATTTTGAAACCTTAAGAGTTGCAGAAAATAATATATTATTGATTGTAAACATGTATTTTCATTTCTCACTAGAACTTTTCTCCAGAATATTTTTGGCTCTGATAAATATTTGCAGAGTTACACTTAGAAATGCATACAATCTCTGTGTAGAGTGGAAATGAAACTGTTCAATCTAAATTTATATAAAAATGGCTTAGCAGTTCTTCATGAAAATCTGTCTAGTGTTCTCAAGTTCTTTCATGCACAGAAATGGACAAAGAAACCTTAATAGGCACTCTGCAAGTTTACAAATGCGCATAAAAGGCACATGGATATGCCAGAAACTGGATAATCAGGAGTATAATGTAATCTTCTGAAGCCATCTATGCTGTTATTAATGACAGTATTCCTGCTTGTCAGCTCAGCCTCTTAGAATTTGTCATTCCAGGACATTTTTGTTTCCATAAGGCCTGTATCATTCTTTCCTGCTCCTGGTCATAAATGTAATAACCAGAATACACTACAAAAAATCTTGGTTTCAACCCAAATTCTATTAAATACTTAAGTTATTTTAAATTCATTCAGTGACAGTGTCAAAATATTTGAAATAGATTTCCATACTTCCCTTAGCTTCACGTCCATTTTCTTCATTCACAGCACCCTTCCTGCAATAACCATCTTCATTTTATGACTTGTTTGTGCCAGTTATAAATCTTAACAACCAATTCATAACTCGCAGATGATTTATGCTGTGCTTGGTTTTTTCCCTATCCTGTGTTGGTGCAGGTGTCTGGAGATAGGGACTAACTCTATCAATTGTGCCAAACTGAGTAGGTTTTACCTGAAGACAGCGACAGAATCCAGTCTCCAAAATGGATGTTTTAAATAAAAACAGGCCAATGGATAATGCCCAGAAACATAATATGTGTAGGTTAGAACATTTAATTCAAAGTACCTTTAAGTTGTGGTTTTCTTCACTGGCTCCAGATGATGGAATAATGCTTGAAGTAGACCATAAACACTTCCTCCCCCGTCTATTCCGGGTCACCAGATATTACCTGATATATTAATGAAAATGTTACAACTTCATAGTCTTTAGCTCCTCATGTCAGAAAACTCTCAACAGCAGTAATTTGATTTGTAATGCTTAAAACTGAGAATACAGTGGAACCTCGCTTAACGAGTACCTCTCATAACAAGGAATTCGCATAACGAGCAAAACAATTTGTAGAAAAAATAACTTGCTTAACGAGCGACGTTTCGCATAACAAGTTATGAGAGGGGAAGTCCCGGATTGTGCACTCGTTCCGCTAGCATCTTAGTGTCGCTTGTGATCACACATTTTTCCAAACTTGTGTTCAGACATATTATTTGTGATTTTTTTTTTGTGCAAAGTTTAATAACCCTGGCAAAAATGTCCCTGAGGAAAAAGCCGCAAAAACAGCCATAAGAGAATAAAAATAACCGTAGAAATGAAACATAAAATCATTGAAAAGCAAGAACGAGCTTGGCTGATCTAGCACGCACATACAATCGGTCTACATCAATGATTTGCACGATTTGGAGTTACACTGTGTTTCACAGCAAGAAGTTGTGGAGGAGGAGGTAACAGCAAAGCAACAATCTTCTGGCGTAATAAGAGAAATGCTGAAAGCATGGGAAACTGTTGCATCGTACATTAAGAAGCATCACCCTAATAAAGCAGTGGCTATGCGCACTACAAATTTATTTAATGATAATGCTGTCGCATTTTCACCAAATTTTGAAGCGTCGGCATAAACAAATGTCTCTAGACAGCTTTCTAGTAAAAAAAGAATTAGATATGTATCATAAATAATAAACTAATTATTTCGATTTTTTTTTCCGTTTTCTGCAAATATAATTCGCATTCCAGGTTGGTTCATTCTGCATAGACGAAAAGATGATTCACGCTCCTTAACAATGTATATATAATTTTCTTTGAATAAACATTACACATAAAATTTTTTGAGTACTTTTTTGGCATAGAATGCATTATCGTATTTTACATTAATTTATATGGTAAAAATTGTTTGGCTTAACGAGTGTTTCGCATTACGAGTAAGATTCTGGAACGAATTATGCTCGTTAAGCGAGGTTCCACTGTATTTATATTTCAGTGGATTATGTTTTACCTGTTGTAAAATCTGTTGTTTTCTTCCTTTGAATTCGCAATTTATTAATGTCCTGCAGAGGTACAGAGGACATTATTTCTCCACATGGGATACCTCTGGATCTCCTTGATAGGCTCCTGATTATCCGTACATTGCCATACTCCCGTGTTGAGATGGAGCAGATTCTTAGGCTCCGGGCACAGACAGAGGGAATACAAATTGATGAAGCAGCACTTAGCATGGTGGGGGAAATTGGCACAAGAACAACCCTCCGGTGAGTTTCTTAAATATTGGCGTAAAAAATTAAATCAATTAAGTGATAGTAATAAGTATTAATATGCAAAATGGCTTAGCCCTTAGATACACACTTAAAGTTATAATCTTTAATATCAGTAGGAAAGAGATGTTTTGTAAACTCCCTTAGATATTATTTGCAGTCAAATTCAGATGAAATGGAAGACAGAATTAAATATTTTATGGGTTACTGTGAGGAGTGTCCTAGTGAAATAGAAATATTTTATAAGTTCCTGTCAACACTGTTTCACTCTGATTTGGACATTTTGTTTTGCAGGTATGCTGTTCAACTGTTAACACCATCAGCTCTAACAGCAAAAGTAAATGGACGATCTGTTATTGCTAAAGAAGACATTCAGGAAGTCGGAGAACTGTTCTTGGATGCGAAATCATCAGCCAAGATTCTTTCACAGCATAAAGACAAATATATGAAGTGACCATTTTTCAATAACCTGGCTGCTTGTTTCCTGGTTTCTGATAGATTTAAGCTGTGGAAATACCTCGAAGTTCAACTGATGTATCACTCATACCCGTCAGTCTAAAATCAAAACAATTATAAAGCTTTGGTCATATTTTTATATTCTGAAACAAACTTATTTTCCAAAAATTATCCCTCAGTATGCTGTTTTCAGTAATCGGTTTAGAATACCATACTGAACTCCAATGCAAATACCTTGTCACACTTTGTTTTTCCCTTATATTTGATGGCTGTTCGAATGAAACCTGTTTTGGACTCTTCTGTCTGAAGGAACAGAGGCCATTAAAAGCAACAAAAAACTGTGGGCATTGAGGCTGATATCCCAATGACTCACCATCCAGTGGATCCCTTTTGCTACTGTCATGCACACATCATAATCTATTACATTTATTAGCAGCACCATGAAAGGGTCTCATTTGAACAACCCTCATACCACTTATTCGTCTCAAAAATATAATATGCAAAGTATATGTACAGCTCTGGCTACTCATGCTTAATTAAATAGTGTATCATTTATTCCCCTTACGCAAATAGTTGGGATATATTTTTGTCACCTAACCTTTAACCCTTTCCAGTCGTTCTGGTTAGAAAACTTCACAACCAGATCGTCAAGGGTTTTTAAATGCCTGCCGAGTCACTAAGTGAACCGTTTTGCCTGAAAAGTTGGTGCAACAAGGGCATAAAGTTAAAAAAGAAAGCCAAATGTATACTTACATTTTCAATTGTCCAGTTCTTGGGCCAACTCAACATTGCTGTAACGTGTCAGTGAAATTGCGGTAGTCTTCAATACCAGACACACTGAGACATTAGTCTGTCCATCAAGAAAAGAACTATTCTTGAAATGAACAGGTTTTCAAAGCATCGCCTGCAACTTTTCTGTATTTTGGAATTATACTGTGAATGTAACCAATGTCACTTTCAGTCAATGCAAATAATCTGATGTCCAACTTCGTTGTTTTTTTTTTTTTGATTACAAATTATGAAAATTATTTTGCACTTGAACCCAACTGTTGATTCTTGTATTGCAATTTTTTACGTGCACAAAATTTTTCCTAAATTGTTTTTCTATATGTTTTATCAACCCATGTCCTTGTTTTTGATGGCTAAATTGCTTATTCAGTGGCATCATTTCCCCACATGCACCATCGCCCACTGTCATGTCTTCCCACCCACCAACACGCAACATTTGTTTCGCTCTCACTCTCTGACATTTTGTTGGTCGATTCTTCACTTGCAGTTTTCCTTCAATTTCCAATTATCTCATCATCAGAGTAAATATGGAGTTTTTCACTTAACACAGCACTACTAGATTCGTCATCCACATCACGCAAGGAATTATATCTAGTTTCTTCAATCCAGAGGGCCATGATTCAGCTGAATGTAAAAGCATGCTACTAACATGTGACATGCCATAATATATAAATATCATTCATTCCTCAAGAAGTTCAAATTATGACTTCCAGATAGCAGGAGGAGGAAAACAAAACATTCGTGCATGTGTTGGTATAGTTTACAGTGCCAACTAGTGACGTATGATTGAAATATGACCGCAGAAATACAAAACAAACTTTGTCGATAATATTGACATTTGTCCATGGAAGCACAGTCACATGTTGATTATATATTTACATTCGACTGGAAAGGATTAAATGCCTACATTACCAACTGTAAAGTAATTTGGAAGTCACAGGTGTTTACAATGTTCCATGCTTTAGTTAACATATTCTTTGCAATTTTTATTTCAACGATTCTGGATATATACTCTTTAAATAACTTAAACCTTATATGATCTGTTTTCTGAAAATGATTGGAAAAATCTGGTCACAAACATCTTAGTGCCATTCACACAACATTAATAAAAAAAATGTATACAGCTTTGTCCAAACACCCTTGTATGAAGTTACCATACCGTCTTATTCTTACACAAAAGTTATTGTACTCATAACCCAAGCACCACAATAAAAATAATTATTGTAATCTCCAATACTGGCTACAGGTTACATAACTCAGAACCTGTTTCCTGCAATTTGTCATGTTCATTATTTTATCTCCATATTCATGTATGTCAGAAACATATCAGATATGTAACAATTTAAATTCTGATTACAGTGTGAACATACAAGGGCTTCCTCAAGATCACTGGGCCACTCAATGTCAGTTTGGGCTGCAGTGATTCAGATTGGTGATGTAATCAGTAAACCAAAAGCCTATATAGCCCAATAAATTGTTTACAGCTAGTTAAGCAAGCACTTATGTGCTAACTCACTGTATTCCTGAGCCATCATTCAATGTTTGGCTTCTAAATTCATGCTTCACAAGACAGAAAAAAAATTAATATTTCACACTGCCTTTACCAGACTGTGAGAATGAGATACCAAGTATATCAGCCTTCAGGATTCATACAAGCTCCACAGAGGATAGAAATCATGTTTCTGTCCTTGAGACAAATTCTGCGAAGTCTTGTATTTTTCTCCTTTTTGGCAGAATATGAAGAGTCTGTGGCAGGAGACCCTCTATTTCATTATTAGGTCTAGGAGGGACTGCTCACAGATAGAGATTTTGCATGATTAGTCTGGATTATTGTGTCCTGTCAGTTTTACCTCGGTCTGTATCTCTACACTCTAATGCAGTGAAGAAATGTTTTCACTTGCTTGATGAAGTCAGAGCAATGTGGGAGGTAAAAGTAAAGTTGTCCCTAATGGGAGAGTGGATGTATACATGCACATTTTCTTGACCTTGGCACTAGTTGGAGAGCAATGTGAGAGATAAAAAAACTTTCTGTAGCCACTATCATGTTTCACATAAGAGGCAAAACAATGGATACTGAACAGTGTGGTGCATACCACATGCTGTATAATGAATGATAAAACTTTGAATTTGCCTCTGTCTGCTCATGGTATCTGCAGCTTCTGCCATGTTGAGAATTTATACCAGGTTTACCAGACACTTTACTTGGAAGATGAGAACAAATGCATTACATTGCCTCAATTGGTTTTAGATTTTGGACTCTAAGATCACAATTTGATGGAATAATTCAACACTTTGATATTCTTGTCAAAGTGAGCCTCTGTAAGCTGGAACACTGATTTAGTAATTGTCCTGATACAAATTGAAGTGCAAATGTTACAGACTGCCACTGCTCACTATGTCAATATCTTGTACCTAATTTTGGAATGCTGTTGCAATTTGCCATTGAGCACGCCATTTGTTTGTGTTCATGAAGATGGCGTTAACATTTCCAAGCACTGAGTCGGGTTGCTGCTGTTCCAGAATATGACTGTCCTGCAGGGTCCACAGTAAAAGGTGATACAGAAGGGCAGCCAGTTACAAAACATCCTGGCTGATCTGATAATTCTACAGTGTTTTCACTGTCTTCTGATCATCATTCTAATGGACTTAAAATCTAGATATAATGGTGATATTAGAAGTACTGTTTTTTTTTTTTTGTAATTTCTGCAGTTTCTTCTATAGTGCTCCAAATCTCTTCCGTGCCATGACTACTCTGTTGGAACACATGAACACAAATGGTGACACTGTGCCCCAGAGACCAGCCATGACCTCATACAGTTGTTAAACCTCTCATGTCTGCTGCCTCAATATTGCACAAAATCAACAGTGTGTCATAAATATAAGGACGGACAGAATATGGGACAAAATCAGGCAGTTGGTACATAAGTCATGCAATCCTCCCCGATTTTATTCAAATTTATGTTAAATTGGGTGAAACTGATGCTGGCAATAGTTATACCTTACCAATAAATCAATTAAGTCAATTTTGGCAGTGAATGTGTTAAAACATTCACTCAGGCATGTAATTTCGTGTCAAACAACTACCATGTGAGTTAGTGGAGAAAGCATTTACGAAGGGTGTTCCGTATATAATGCCTCCTATTTTTTTGTGTTAATATGTAACATCTGAGCTGGATGTTGATGTTGTAGTAAAGGTTGAACCTTCCCACCAATGTATTGTTTGTTTGGTTGTTGTGCGACAGCGACAGCAGAGCAGTCTACCACAATGGCGTCTGACATAGAAGTGCATACGAAACAGATGTTACTGAATTTCTCACTGCCAAACAAATTGCACCCATTGACATCCATCAACGCTTGCTAAAGGTGTACGGAGATGATACAGTGGATGTCGGCGGTGGGTAGTGCATTTCAACAGTGGCAAAAGTGAAGTGCACGACAAATGATGCCCTGGGCGTCCCTGCTCAGCTGCCACTCCTCACAATGAACAGCACCTCGATCAGCTCATCCATACAGATCGGCAGAAAACGACCAGGGAACTGTGTGCATGGCTTAATACTGGCTGTAATGCATTGGAAACGATGTTGGGGAAGCTGGATTATCACAGAGTTTGTTCCAGGTGGGTCCCGCGGATGCTTACACAGGACCACAAAACTCACTGAATGGAAGTCTGTCAGGACCTGTTGCACCAATTTGAGGCTGAAGGTGAAAAGTTTCTGGACAGCATCATCACCAGAGATGAGATGTGGTGTCACCACTATGAGCCGGAATCTAAAAGACAGTCCACAGAGTGGCAACATCCAGATTCCCCAAGAAAAAGGAAGTTCAAGGCATAGCCATCGGCAGGGAAGTGATGTGCATGGTCTTTTGGGACAGGCGGGGTGTGATTTTGTTGGATTTCCTGGAGCCTGGTGAGACTGTCAATTCTGAACACTACAAGACGATGCTTGACTAAGCTGAAAGCCCGCATTTTCCGAGTCAGGCCAGAGAGGCAGACCTTTCACTTGCAAAAGGATAACGCTAGACCCCATACCAGTTTGGCTGGACTGTCCTACCACATCCGCCTTATAGCCCCGATTTAGCACCTTCAGACTTCCATCTCTTTGGGCCTATGAAAGATGGACAACGATGCTGTCATTGCAGCTGTAAGAAAGTGGCTAGCCTCTGCTGGCGCAGCATACAGACTCTTGTTCATCGCTGGCAAAAGTGCATAACGAATGGTACTGATTATGTGGAAAAATAACTGTAAGTAGCTGACATCTTGCTCTATTTAACTGTGTTATTATGCTTTCTGTACCTGTTGTAGTTTTCATTAAAAAAATAGGAGGCATTAAATACAGAACGCTCCTCATGTTAGTGCAAGAAAGTAAGGCTAAGATTTTGGCATAAATTTTAGGATGTTAAAGAGTTCCAAACAGAGGAATTATTCATATAAATTAAGACAAGTTTTCATTTAGGGGTGGGGGGGGGAATCAAAACAGTGTTGTCTTTATGGAGATGCCAAGAATGTGTACAGAACAACGGCGTGCACTTCCAGCTTCTACTGGTACACTACTTTGTCATGTATATATGGTCTTAGTTGGTCAATTATGTTTGTAGAATCTCAGTACCCAAACTGGCATGAGAAGTATCTGTTTCTTCCATATGAGTGGCTCGGTGATTTTTAAGCAACTACACAACTGCAGTGTACATTGTTCCTCAAGTAGGACCACATCATATTTTAAGACAGTAATGTTTTGAAGCTTATGTTTATACATTTAGTTCTAATCAGCCCATTTTCACTTCATGATGTTAGTTTCAAAAGATAAGTTCATTTTGAAAACACAAACAAAAACCATAATTTATATCAGGAATGCTGAAATGGTAGTCAAAATGTTCACTCTTATAACATAATATCAATTAAAACTGTTTCCATAATGCTCTTTGCATTCTTAATGACTGATTTGTCCAGTTAGGAGCACCCTTCAGCTGCTACAGACGCCATTTGTGAACTATACTGTTTCTAGAAGACACATTCAAAGTAACAATCTGTTGACTCTGAGGTTCTCATAGTGGTGAATATGAAGAAAATGATAATCTGGAGTGTAATGGTGTGTAGATAAGTAGAATTCAACGGACATTTTGGAAGAATGTACTGCCTCCATCTTCAAGAGGAACAGATAAAGCCAACCAGGAAACCCTTGCCACCTGATTTTTTGCTTGTCTTACTCTTCAACCTGAGCCATGTTCCCCAAAAGCACTGGTGGACGTCTAATGACCTACACAGCATTTACAACCCCATCATACTCTTGAAAGCAACAGTTTGGTCAATAATTAGCACTGGGTGATATTTTACAAAGATGTGTATCGGAAGATTCTACAAAAAGCATCAGGACAAGTCAAATGAAAACGTTAAAAGAGTGAGAAACTGAGATCCTACTGGGTGCAGCTGTAGATGGAGCAAGTAGTCAGCATAGGTCAGAAGCATGTACCATGTAGTAGGTCTCGCAACATTGGCTTCATGACAGCAGAGCATTCAAAGATGGCTGGTGTATTGGAAGCACGCATGAAGGACGAACAGCATTCTGTAATCCTTTTAGGGGGGAGGTTAGTGAGGGTAAGAAACCCATCAAAATCCATCACTGCATGAAGCTGCAGTAAGGCATGCTTACCTCTGCTGCAATGAATGGAGCAGGAAATTTAAAACTGGAATGTTTACTGTCATGGATACCACATAACCAGGCGAAGCAAGAAACTCAAAATTCCACAGGCAATTTCACAGACTGAACGTGCCAGTAGGGAAAACTGTTGTGTTGAGGTGAACAAAGCAGCCTCTATGCTGGATATCAATCATGGTTCAGCTCATCATGTTATCCATGACAAGTTACAGTTCCACAGAAATGTCTGCAAGATATGTGCCTAGACAGATGACTCCCAAAATGAAGAAAAGATCCATGGATGCCTGCCAGGGAACATTTGCAATGATACAAAACAGATAGCACTGGCTTCCTGAAGTGCACAAATGAAAGTTTGATCCACTACCACCAGCCTGAAATGAAAAGAGCAAGCAAACAATGGGGGCCATTCAGCTCACCAAACCCCAACAAAATTCTGCATGCTGGAATCTGTGGGAAACTGATGCTGGTGCTATTTTGGGTTCTCCAAGGCCCGCTTGCAGAGCACTGCACATCCAGGGGGGCCACAGTCACCAGTACCTTGTACTGCAAACCTCCTTAGGAACCATCTCAGAAAAGACATCAGACCAAAATATCATAGCTTGCTAGGTACTGGTGTCATGTTGCATGACAGTGCTTGGCCACATACTGCTGATGTTACAGCCGAGGTGAGCAGCAACATTCATTGTGTCGTCCTCACCTGACTTCACCCCTTGTGACTTCCATATCACTGGGCCACTCTGGTAGGCTCTTGTTGGAAAGAATTTCCAATTCGATGAAGTGCAAGAGGTGTGCATGAGTGGCTAGGCATGAAGCAAAATGATTTTTTTTTCCATGAGGAATCCAGGCATGAGTGATGTTTTGGAAGACATGTACTTAACACAAGAGACTATGCTGAAAACAGAAAAGCTGTACTGAAAATATCTGCACTAAATCAGCTGGCAAAAAAGTTTTTAAGGCTTTCAGTTAACCCACCAACATAATCTACAACCACTAGGAAACTGCAATGTTCACACTTTCAAATGCATTCTTCAGAGGCTTCATTATTTACACAAAATGACCGTGAATGAAAAATCTGAGGCTTAGAAATATCCAGTACATACCTTCTTCGGCATAGCAAACTTTCAACCGGTAAAATAGGAACCACATGGCTTATCTGTTAATAAGTCTGCACAGTGATACCACCTTCAGAGAATCTTCTTTGCTTCAGTACCAAACATACTCCAACTTTATGGAGGCATGCCACAATAACAGTGTAGTGAAGAAAGCATGTCATATTTAAACCATACTTAAATAAATATCAGAGAAAATGGAACAAGCACAAGCTAGGAATTATTAACACCCTTGAAGTTTTAACTGTAAATGAGATACTCTTTGAAAACCGTGAGAACAGATAGAAATTAAGGAACTGTATAATACTGCAGTGACATAAAAAATCAAGGGATGGATCCGTAGTTTGATCTGTAAACATTTATAAAGTGGTAATCAAGCAAAAGAGCTCAAAAGGAAAAGAAAAGTCCACTGAATAAATTATGAAATCCACAATTTTAATGTTAAACCATTCTCTCATTCTAGTCAATCTGTGTTATAACACACAAAAGCCAGCATTTATCATTTCCGCCAATGATTTACCCTCACTACCATACTTACAAATTCACAACTCACTGAAAGCAGGTGATATATATAAATGCATTTATCTTCTTTCTTTGCATAATTTCCTCTTCTCACAATGTACAAATATATACCCACTTGCCATTATATCGCAACTGGCTGCCCATTTAAAACATTCCTCTGAATCAGATCTGGTTCCTTCTGGAGAAAATGGAACTAAAAGGAATCTCTAATCCAGAGTTGAGGTTGAAGACATACTTATCCATAAAATATAACTTAATAATTAAATTCTCTCTGCATATAGCCACAACACAAAGCTGTGCATCCAGATGCTTCATACTCATAGATCTGAAGCCTTCAGTCAACATACTCCTCGTCTGCCTATCAGAATTTCTTTCGGTGAAACTGCTGAAGGAAAGCAACCAAATCATGGGTACTCATACTGAATGCACAACTGCAACCTATGGTTAATGTTTAGAACAATAATGTACTCATGCCACCCATTTCACTCTGTTCTCTGACAAATATTTCAAAGTACTGATAAATAATTGTCACTGCAAGGAGGATTCCAGTGCCTGATCCAATGGCACCCAGGAAATCAGCCAAGACAGATAGTGCTCCAATACACAGACCACCAAAGGCTGCTGCAGTTGGGATGTAACGATTCAACTCTCGGATCATGGAGTTATCACGATGACCTCTCATCACCATCTGCTGCTCCTTGAGCTGTTTGGCAACCTGCAAAACATAACACATTTCTTTATGCACTTTTTGTGTGTCAATGTACAGTAGTGTTTCTAAACATCACAGATGCGAAGTGTGCTTATGTGATACATTGGCACATATGATGAATCAGTCACTGACACAGACCTTTAGAGAATCATGCAATTTGTTGTCCTTTTTACACAAATGAAAAAATTGTGAATATTTCAAGCATTCCCCCTCCTATCATGTCTTAAAATTCATATGTAGATATGTACTCTTATCATGTGCTAAAATCAACTGTTATGTTGTCACTCATGTTCTTCACTTGAGCTTGAGAATATGAAGCCTTGTGTAGCAGCCTTCAGGATTCAAAGGAATTGTACACAACACAACAATCTTTTTTCTCTGTGTCCTTTTCATTATCCCCAGGTCTTTAAGGGAATGTATTGATGGTTTTGGAGCAGTGGTGAGACATGAGATTAATCAAAAACTGACACACTGCCATCAAAATCAGTATGGATCACAATCTCACTGATATCAATTTCCTCTTCTCTCTTTTGAACACAGGAGAATGTTTTCTAGACCTCTACGATGAGTACAAACTAGATGATGTAGGATATGGAGAGCACACCATAAAAGAAAAAAAAAGAAAAAAAGACCACTATGCATATACATGTTGATGCACTTTGGCTTCATCTCTGATGTCCCTGCGATACAGATCCAGTATGTGCTGTGTGGATAGTCGATACCATATTGGCATGTCAATTCTCTCAAGTGCAGACAAGTACCTCTTGCCTCTGTCAAAAAGTGACCTCCCCTAGCTTTACCTTTCTTTATTCATCAAACAAGATCACAATTCAAACAGTTCCGCATATTGTGACATTCTTGTCCATGCAGGCTTCTGCAAACTGCACAGTTTTAGTAATTGTCCTGGTAAACATTGTAACAGTTCTTACAGGTCACCACTAATTATCATATTTTGTGCCTGGTTTTGGCATAAACACTGGCTTTGCTGACAGGTGTAACAATGTTGTGACTGCCTTGGTATGCAAACTGCACTACAGGATTGGTACTGTATGATGCCAGTCTCTCTTACTGTCTTCTGATGGTTCTAATGAAATTCATATGGGCATAAATTCAATATCAGAGTCACCATCATTTGCAATTTCTCATATTACCTCTACTCTTTATGCTGCTAACAGATTTGTCACTGCCATGAATGTACTTTGGTGGAACCCACAAATGAGAAAACTGATACTCTGCAAGATATGCTGTGACCTCATGCAATGCCATATCTTCTCACATGTAAACAGCTTCACATGGTAATACCTAGTGATATAAATGGTGGTAAAATTTATCACAATTGTATCCAAGTTCTAAGGAGAGGTGTACTAAAGTGACAGTCAATGTTTGCAATACTAAAAGCCTTTCTGCTGAATTGAATTGTGGTGATTTTCATAATGAATATGGTAAAGGTACTAAAGGAAAGTGTTAAGAATCAAGAGAAGCTAAAATGTCACTGGAAACTTGGAACCAAGACTGAGGCAGGGCTTGTAATACAGTTTCATGTGGTCTAACAACTCAGTATTCAATTTGGTTCTAAACTTCAACAACCATGACACATGCACTTTCTACTTACATCTTTTGCAGATGATCCTGACACATCTATCCATGTCTTGGAGAAAAATGCACAGGAACCAAGCATAAAAATAATGTATAGCACTGCATGGATCGGATCTTCAAGGATGTGTCCAATGTTCTCGGGTGGTGACAAATAGTAGCATAATCCACCAACAGGATATGCTCTCGCAGGACCACCACCTCCAACATCTGCCCACACTCCAAGTAGGTTCACAAAGAAGTTACCAGTGAATTTCACTGCCAACATCTATTGTAGATAAGAACAGACATAAATTTAAAACTTACAATTTTAAAATATACAGTATTCCACATAATGAACTAACCACAACAAACACCAGCTTGGTCACCTGCAAGATACAGTGTTAAAGAAATCCCATATAAGCCCAAAAAAATATGGTTCCCTGGATTTCATTAAATGGATGTTTGCTGGGCCATATAAGAATTTACCTTGGTGAACACAAATAATTAACACATAAAACCAACACCTTTTCATGAAGTGTTTGCCAGTATATCATGCTTGGTGTTAGTTAGCCTTAAGGTCAAAAGATACAATGCACTGGCAAATGAACTCGTTTTGAATTTTGACAAATTTGCATACAGACTGAAAAACATGACACAACACAGAACAGGCCACAAAATGCCATGCAATCAGAAGAATGCCAAAACTCATTCCAGCCATTAGGATACAAGATGTGCTATGATGTAATAATAACATCACAGCCACTTTACCATTAAATACCTTTGGAATGAAGGATTTTGTCTTCACTGTTTCTTGTTCATGGCTTTATGCCTGGTATACAAATATAACTCAATCCCTTTCATTGTGTTTCCTACTTCGCTGCTTTACATATAACAGACTATGACAAGAAATACCATGCTCAATGTTAAACACTGTTAATTTCATATTAGTTAATTCAAAATACTGTTCAATACCTGAAAATAAGACTATATACCGGGTGGTATCAGAAAGTTCCCAGACTCTTATTGTTGTAACTACCTCGATGAAAGATGAGAGGGGAGGCCATGGTCACCCTTCCAAAAACCTATTGCATCAGTCTGCCAAGTGACACTGCACTGTGAGCATGCATTGTTTTTACACAAGTGCTTTTTCCACTTCGTCTTTTGTTTCGTCTGTGATGGATGGCAAGATCAAGCAATGTGACTGCATCAAGTTTTGCGTGAAGCCAGTAAATCTGCTATCGAAACCCCTGAAATGCTTCGCAGGGCTTTTGGAGGACATTCTTTAAGCTGGACAGCAGTTTTCAAATGACATTCACATTTCAAGGCAAGTCAAGTGTCAGATGAATATGACAAACATTCAGGGCGACCAAGCACCAGCAAAATAACAGAAAATGTTGAAAAAATTTCAGAGCTCATCCATAAAGACCTTCGCCAAACAATCCATGAGTTCGCAGAAACTGTTGGGATCACTCATGGAATTTGTTAGGAAATCTTAACAGAAAATTTGAACATGCACCACACTGCTCCTTCATCACGACAATGCATCTGCCCACATGTCCCTGAAAATTACAGAGTTTGTGACTAACAACAACATGGTTATTGTTCCCCATCCTCCCTGCTCACTGGACTCAGCCTCCTGTGACTTTGCTTTGTTTCACAAATTGAAAATGGAATTGAAGGGACGTCTGATGCCCAAAGGGAATCGCAAGCGGTACTCAACAGCATTATGGAAAATTAATTCCACGGTGCTTTTGAAATGTGGAAAAGACAATAGGATTTCTGAATATATTCCCAAGGAGACTATTTTGAAGGAGATGGCAGCCATAATTGAGTAAGTGAAGCCAGCATTTCTCTTTGACCTAGTCTGGGAACTTTCTGATACATCTTGCATGGTTGTGACAGCCACCCCATTTGAAATACGGTTAATTTATAATTCAAGGCAACAGCTCCGTTAGTGAACTTTGAATTCAGAATTATAATCCTATACAGACTGCAATTTGTGTATAAATGTCATCTGTATTATTGTGAATACCCGGTACACTCCTTTGATCTTTCCCAAATGGTGTTAAATAGTTTACCTTAAGTGAACAGATGCCAGGAGAGGGAGAGGGCACAAAGGTTGGGGATAAGGTAGGCTATCCACCAACAGAGACAATATTCATGCCAATGTACAGGATGGTCATGGAAGCATAACATAACATCTTTCATACCATTACTAAGGGCAATAAGATGGTAGTGTGAAGGAACATGCTGCTGCATGCACACATGTCTGTGTATGCAGTTCAGTAGCCACAGGTAATTGTTCAGTGAATCCACATGCATTTGCAGTGATAACACACTTCAAAACTAAATCAACTGTACAGATACAACAACGTTTTTGGTGTGAATTTCACATTGAGACATGGCAGAATTCTTTCATATAAGTAAAAAAAAAAGTAAAAGTAAAGCTATCCCTGTAACAGGCCATGAAGGCCCATAGGGTTGTGAGATGTTGAGGGTCCCACATTATCTAAACAATCGGCTCAAAGATGGCAGTAAGGTTGTCAACATTACACACCTGCTGTGCTTTACTCCCCAGGAAAATTATTTAATTAATTCCTGGTACTCATTTCTGTTAGAGGCTGAGTTGACCCCAGGGCCACAGTGCGGCTGGAAGGATTAGGTCAATTAAAAAAAATCCAATGACCTCATCTGGACCTGAGACCTTCCGGCTTGTAGCATAGTGCCTCAACCAACTACACTACTGTGTGCCCCCATTCTTTCATATAATACTATTTTAAAGTGGCTTGATGGTTCTGATGTTCTCAGTAGTACAGTGAATAAGTCTACTGGCCCTTGACATTTAATTTGCACACCAGATCATTGAAAGAGTCTGAAATGTCCTGCTGCAGGGTTGATCATGCTCAGCAAGGGAAACATACCACCTCCTTATAAATCTCAGAACCCCCCCCACCCCCCACAAGGGGAATAATGATGATGATTATGATGATTTATTCTGTTTATTTATCATTGTCATAACTAAATTCGATCCACTAGACTTGTTTCTTAAAATGTATTCCCACATTTTTTCATCCAGTCTCCAGTCTATTAATAACACATCTTCCTACCCCAACCCTTAAGTGACAATGTTTCTGTATGCATAAGCTCTTATATTACAGTATATTATTCACCTATTTATGGTTTTCCTGATATTATATTGTAGCATCCTGTTGCACTTTTCACTTAGTGTCTACTATTCACAGTTTTACATGGAACACCATGTCCCACAAAACTTGTTAACTTTTTAAAAGCTTAAAAGTTCTCTAAATATTTTGGCCAATATGGCCATTGTCAGGTGTTAAAATCTTTTTGATGAGGAAACTGGTGTCTTCTGTTGCTAATATATGCAGGTCCCTTGTGTTTTGGAGTTGGTGCGTTGTGTTCTTCCTTGCTGGGTGATTGCTCCAAGCAAGGAACAACATAACACATCAACTCCAACACACAAGCACACTGAAGGGACCTGCATTTATTTATTTATTAGAACAGAAGACAGCAGTTTCTCCATTAAAAAGATTTTAACACCTGATGATGGCCATACTGGCTGAAACATGTAGTGAACGTTTAAAGTGACTAAGCCTTGTGGGATGTGGTCTTGCATGTAAGACTGTGAAAAAGAGACGCTATGGTTTTCCTGTTCATCTAGCATCAGAGATAAATGATAAGGAAAAACACAATAGAAACACAAAAGCTGAAAAGCTGGAAATAATACAAGAATGGGACAAGAAAAAAAAACCAGAACCTGTGCAAATTTATGCAGTTCCACTCTCAACACTGTCTACATAACTGAAAGATCAGACTTTCATATAAAAATAAGCTTTTGGAGCATAAATTATAAAATATGTTGACTCGACGGAGCTGAACATGACTAATCAGATGATAAATTGACCAAATATTTGAAAGAGCCATATGCTTGTGACAGGCCCTGCAGTGAAGGAGACAACAAAGGAAACAGTGATGAGCTGAGAACTGAACTGCAGTATTTCAATGGCTTGCTTTAACAATCAGATGACAAGCCATATGGTGAAGGTTCTGCTGCAGATATTGGCACTTCAGAGAAGTGGCACCAAAACATAAAACACACAATACAAACCAAACAACCGTCAACATGAATGAAAAGCACTGCTTTATAAGGCACAGCAATGACAAATTAAACTGGTTTGTGTATTTGGCCTCCTTAAGAAATGCGCTGAAGGCTTTAGAGTTGAAGTGCATGGAGACCTGAAGGGCAGTAGTTACAAACAAAGCTCAGGAATTTTTGTTGCAGCATAGATCAGTGTCTGGTGCCTTACTGGGATGCCTGCCTAAATGTGCATGGAGTCTTCTTTTAATGTTCTCTGCTCCTGTTCCCAGAACAATCCGCATACAAATTTTGCTTAAAACAGCCCTCATATATTTGAAACACTGTACTGTATATCTGGAAATTAATGCTAAATGATATTTAATTTTAATTCGGTGTAGTGAAATTAATCTTGTAATAACTGATCATCAGGTTACTTGTACACATTATGTAATCTGTGCTCCTAATTACTATTTTCATTTTGCTAAATATACAAGTGTGTGCACCTCACTTTTGTTTTAAATTTTTGGCTTTAGTTCCCCAGAACTCCCATATACAGTTTTCTCGACTTGCAACACAATGACGTTTACACCCCAAACAAGCGTTAAATTGAGGTCTTACTGCACTGAAGTTTATTACTAAACAAAATGCTGTAAAATCAGAAATGGATCACGATGTAAGTGCAGAACTAAAAACAAAGTCAAATTTGTCTCAACTAAGCTTGAGGCAGAAGCGATAAACACAAATGCCCCACCCATTTCAGTTGATTTAATCTCCATCCCAGCAGCAACCTCACTGTATAATGCATCCAACAAGGTGCTTTGAGGATGGTACCTATAAATACTCCATAATCTTGAACTTTTCCTTCACTATACAGTCCCTTCTTTGTGAATTATGTTTGTTAAAAGAAGAAAACTGCTGTCTTACCTGAGAAATCACATACAAGTTGGACACAAGCGCAGACTGTAGAATGATTGGGATATTTGATGTGTAGAATAACTTGATAGGATAACTACTGTACTGGCCTCTGTAGCGAGCTGATTTGATTGGCAAATCCACCCGGAATCCCTAAAAGAAACAAATTCCATTTAATTCTCAAGATCGTCCTGCATTAAGTCTTCATAGTTCCTCTAATTTATTCAATGACTGCATACACACATGGTTTCTTGCAACAGAGAAAATAAAGTACAACCTGCTTAACAGGTTCCCACTCAAGTTTTCTCACAGTAAATAGAACCTTTTCTCAAGACCCACACTCCAAAAGTTCCCAGTAACCTGCTTCATATGTTTCCTACACAAATGATTTCACACATAAGAAGTCACATTTTAATATTAAAAAAACTGTGTAGCATTTTAGTCTGCAAGTGAACTATACCGACCAAGTGACTGCCACTTTTCGGTGTAGTACCAACTTTAGCAGATAGAGGGTGTCATGTGGTCAGCGCAACACATCCCCATGGCCGTTAATCTCAGTTTTCTAGACCGGAGCCACTACTTTCCATTCAAGTAGCTCCTAAATTACCAACAAGAGGCTGAATGGACCCTGTTCCAGACCCACTACTTCTCAGAATATCTGGTAGCGCCAGGAATCGAAACCGAGACCGCTGGATCTGTAGCCAGGAATCGTACCTGGGACCGCTGGATCTGTAGCCAGGAACTCTGACCACTAGACCACAGGGGCGGTCCACATTCTAATATTATGAAAGCAAAACTTTACCCATTTCATAGGTGGCCGCACCATAGCTCAAGCGGTTAGTCACTGGCTTCCCACCGTGGTGGCCCAGGTTCGATCCCGGGTCTGGTCAAGTGGAATTTATGGTGGACAAAGTGGCGCTGGGGCAGGTTTTCTCCAAGTACTTCGGTTTCCCCTGCCAATCTTCATTGCACCAAATTCTCCATCATCATAATCACCCGGGGCAGGTACAATAGGCCAATCAGTGGCCACCGTGCCGAGTGGACCCAGCTGGACTCCACCCCCCACTAAGCGAATTAAAAAAAAATTACCCATTTCATATGTTTTCAGGACAGTATACTCTGATCATCCATCCTAATGCAGGGGAAAATACACACAAATATACAAAAAAATGGACAGTCCAAGTTTCAGGTGTAACTTGGAGAACATAGTGACTGCTAAATATAAAAATTTGGAAATGTATACATAAGATTCAACTTGTGATTTTCCTCTACAATTTGTGTTCAAAACACTGTTTGCTCCAAGAATGTTGTTCTTGAAATACATGCCAAAATGCAGGTATGCCTTCATATAATATGTCAATTAAAATTTTCCAACCTAAATGAAAACTGAAATGGCTAAATGATTCTTCACACAGAATTCAAATATAAAATTTCATGAAATTCTGATCAGCTATTCTCAAATCTTTTGTGCTTACAGCTATACAGTGAACTTAATAGGAGCTAAACACAGTTGCGAAGTCTCGTAAATGGTGCGCACGTGATTATGAGTATACTGTGCTCGCTTGTCCCTATACTGACTTATTCATCACAAACTTCACCCATTTACAGTAGATGATTATGGGCACACTGACATCAACTGACAAGCACACTAATGCCACTGATACTGAACAGAACTCAATAGTTATCTGTATCTGATAGCCTGTCTGTCATACCTCATTAGCACTTAAAAGCAACACCACCTAAGCACACTTGAATATTCTCTCCTGATCAAGATTTCTGATTACTTCAACGACATATAAATGAATAATAACAAAGAGACCCTCTAATTCTCCATATAATCATACGGCGAGTGAGATGTTTGTCACAGCAGCATACAAAGCTGTTCGAGTCTGACAAAGAATGAATCAGATCTTAGTGTGTTTACACACAACTGTACCTTGGTTTCCACCACATGTCAGAAGCCATTCCCAAATTCCCATTTAAATTGCTTCAATGTTTGAGCTGCAACATGAGCTGTATGGGGACAAATACCATAGTGGAAAATGGTTCATTTTATCAGGGCTGTTTTATTAAAGTGATGCAGCATTGTGCAACAGCAGTGCGATTATACTGTCCCTTGGTCCAGCAATTCCAGATAAGAAAGCGGTACACATCCAAAAATGCCATCAGTACATTCTCCCAGGCTACAAAGTTCTTGAACTTCTTTTCCTGGGGGATGTGATGTGTTTCAGTGGTATGGAAGTGATTAATGTCTATTTTATCTCTCATGCCTGACCAAGCAACTCTGGACACAACGATCTTCCCAGAAAGTGATGCTCCTCCAAGACAATGCCCAACCCATGTAATCTGCATCACAACAAATTCCTGAAGCAGTTTCAACAGGAATGTCTTGTGCATCCACCATACAGCACAGACCCTAAGCCTACCCACTTCAATCATTTTGGAACATGGTGAAAGTCGAGGTGCACTGTTAGGTTCAAACACTGAGCCTTGATTTCTTCACCATGGAACTCAAATATGAGATGTATTGCTGCGACAAAAGTATCAACTGCTCTGATATGATATGTGAAGAAATAAAGGATCTGTCAGTTTTCTTCTTCTGCTGAACATCCATAACAGAGCAATATATAGAAGGTGTGTTACTTAAGGAACACTTCTCATATGAGTCCATTTCAGTCACTTAATAATAACAATAACTCTGTGGCCTTTACTCTGCAAGCAAACTATACTGACCAAGTGACAGCACTTGTTGGTGTACTTAGTACCAAACTTAGCAGACTGAGGGGGTTGCGTGGTCAGCGCAATGGATCCCCATGGTTTTCTAGACTGGATTCGCTACTTTTCCATTGAAGTAGCCCCTCAATTATCGTCACAAGGCTGAGTGGACCCCATTCCAGATCCACTATTTCTCAGAAAATCTGGTAGCGCTGGGAATCAAAGCTGGGACCTCTGGATCTGTAGCCAAGAACTCTGTCCACTAGGCCACAGAGGCTGTCATATTTCAGTCACTTAATGCTTCATATTTTGTTCATGACATGATTCTACTGTAGTTCTTCAGATTTTCATATTTCATTCACAACACATCAGTCTGTATATCTGCAGGTAATTTTCCAATAAAGCATTATCACACACTGTGAAATTCATCGGGGAACAATCAACTCAGTGGCTTTATATATTATTCATCATAAACAGAATCACAAAGGCATGGCAGCCAAGGCTGTTAAAACAATGTGCAATTTTTGTGATGTATCTTTAATTATGTGCATATACCTTAATTTCTTGAGTGTCATTCCTTCTTAGTTCTTTGATACTGCAATACTGACAAGAAAAGCAACCACATTCTGGGATAAATTGGCTACATCTTCTTGAATTAAGTTATTCTCTGAAGCCCCCCCCCCAAATTCAGGTAAATACAGTTAAGACTCATCTGTGGATGTTCAGGGCCACCTACACACTGGTCATGCAATACAGTGTTCTTTGGAGTCAACCTGAACAACTGAGGCAACATAAAATTATCAAACTGAGGAAATCAGATTAAAAGCAAAAATAAGACTTATGTTTCAACTAAGATTGAGGCACATGAGTCAAAAACCATCAGTGTCTCACCCATTTTAGTTCACTTTTATCTTCTTCCAAGCAACAGCCTCCCTGTACACAGTACACAGCAAGGTGCTTTGTTGGAAGTTGCAACATACAGGCTCAATTAAACAGCTCCATACATGTTGATAAAAGTGGCAATCGCATGCTTCACGATGTTTCATGAAACTTTTCAGTGTCAGCTTCTATGGGTATGTCACTGATGGTAAGATACTGACAGAAGCACAACTCTGAAACATCCCCACATTACAACCTGCATCAAGATACATGTATTGCCACTTGCATCAATGTATACTGAGCCCTTACAATCATCGTCACATACAAACCACATCAGTCACCTCAAATATTTCATAAAATATAAAAAATAACTCAATTTAAAATACCAAACTAACCTGATCTTTTCAGTATAATCATAAATTTTGATACTGGTACTAAGTCATAAATACATACTGGTAAGACAACCCTTTAAGCTTAAAAAGAGTCCTCAAAACTTGGGACTGTCTTATATGTGAAGCATAAATCGTAAACCTTACATCCTTAAATGCAACTTTCCATTTAACAACAGCTGTGCATCATATAACTCCCACCATATTTACAGCTGACACCCATGTTTGGCATATACATAGTCAACATATAGATTATAATAAACCAAAGTGTGGTGGGGCAGCATGACCAAAATTAACGGTAACTGCAAAGTCACCAAGATGCACCTGACACCACTTGCAATAGCTGATGTACCATAAACAAACATCAGAGCCAAGTGAAGATAATTATTACTTATACATTACAGACAAAAACCTTATGTGGAGCAGGGCTCCTGTCTTGTATCTGGGAGGTAGTTGGTTCAATTCTTAGCCTGGAGACAGATTATCCTGACAAAGTTTTCTTGTGGCTTTCCTCAGTCCTTCTGGTTAAATTCTCTGATAATACCTAACATTACGTCATTACCGCTTCCTTCCATATTCATTCTAATTCAATTCAGTCATTAATCATCCTCTCAATCAACACTATACAGTTTGAGCTACTGACGGCGTCATTAAATATACCATAAACAGATAAGCAGACTTACCTGGAAGTATATGACAATGGCAAACACAAGAACTGTGGCCAGCAAATTCATTAGGTTAGGCAGATTCTGCCGATAAAATGCTTCACGAAGTGCTCTGACCTTATCTTGTCTGGTTGCCAACAAATGGAACAATGCAATTACAGCACCTTCAAACTCTGTGCCACGACCTGAAAGCACACAAAAAATATAAAATTACACCTTAAACAAAAGTTTCATTACATATATAATTACATAAGGACCTGGTGGCCTGCATATAATGCCACTACTCCGTGCACATCTTGGATTTCAGACCACCCAAATCCAATGAAGGTCTTCCATCACAAGTACCCACGTCCAAACTTTGTGTGTGTAGAAGATATCAGGCACCCATCTTGATTTGTACCCTACATTAAAGTGATAAAAAACCAGAAACAAGTAATGTGACATATGACCTTTAACAGAGATGACATACAAGTCACAACCTCAAGCTTTTCTTCTCATCTCTTTTGAGTATCCCAGTTTACTTTAAATGATATTATAGGAATTTCACCAATATAGTTATTTCAAAAGTTCTGAACTGACACCATTCATGTGAAACATTACACCTGCTGACTCATACTTCACATG